ATGAAATTGGAACATACTATACTAGTGTAACTCTATCTGTCATAAATCCTATCCTATGTTGTTTTACTAGGGCTTCTTTCGTTGGCATATTGTGAAAGCAAATAAACCAAGCATTTTTACTACATGTCAGGTGAATTTACAATTTATTATGTTTCTTGGAATCATCTCGGTATTGTTTTAGTAACGGTTTTTACAGTTTGTCAGCCAAAAAATCTATGTAAAGGAAATATACAATTTACAATTATTAGCATTTTTCCATCTTGTAGTGCGCTTCAATGCTTTAGTACAATAGGTGACCAACCCTTTTAAGGCTTACTCATGCATGTATCCATGTGATAACTCTACACGGCAATGCCTGCCTGAATTATTGTTATCATAAAACTTTTTGCCAAACATTGATAGGTGTGTGTCCTTCGTTATTATAGCCACTATTTTTTCAAACTGTCGCTAACAACTTACACTAATGAATCATTAGTTACGCAACCATTGCACTTCTAATCATTATCTTTCTGTAATTAAATCCTCGTTCAATTCAGATGTTAATTAACAAATGAAATTAAGTCAGACAAGCAATTAACAATTACCAGTGTTTTATCACTCTAGGAATTTTATTTTAAGAGTTTAGATGTTAGATTATCTAACCTTGAAACTTAATGGACATCATTGGGCTAAATTTATGAAAAATATCATTTTACCAGGAATATCTTTATACCTACATACAAAAGGCTTTGAAGATATTCCAGTCATCTTTAATTGATGTGATTTGTTTAATTAGAACCTGACACACAGTGAATCACCCAATTGGATGAAAATGCAACATTTGTATGGTCCTTCAAGCCCGTCCGAGATAAAATGCATAAAGCCTGCAACACCTAATGTAAAACGAAATCCGTCACACCCATGTTAAACGTACCAAAATCCGTTACTCTGCTAACAAACCATAAAAAAAAAATATAATTTATTGTTTGAATAATACGTGTTTATTTAATAAATTCCCCTTTTCTGACATTGGCCTAGTGATTATTCATAAGGTAAAAGTAAAATCCAAATTTAGAAATCTCACTTTTGTTACTACTCACGATCTGACTTCATTTATTTAATCAGTTTAATGACTTGATCCTGGCTTGGATAAACATGTTTCACTGTTTTGGCAATGCATATCACAAGTCAAATATAAATTTGCATAAATATAAGATAATGAGATAGTTATTATTTAATTTGTGATATAATGAAAAGATGTAGACACGTGCCAATTCATTTAAAAAGTGTTTAATGCCATATTTTGTATGACCTTCTGTAGGTATATCTTCTTACTACTCGTATTTTGGAACACAATAAGGTGGATCCATATATCATTGACAGCGCCAATTATTATAGACCAATTTAGTAGTTTTTATTGGGATGAGATAGGATAGGGCTCTTTCTCTTATACTTATGGAGGATAATCATTTCTTTTTATATTTCTCTCAATCAACTACATTAAACATCAAACAAGCTGAGAAAATCTCTGACCCCGCTTTAAAGATCCAAATTAAATATTTATTGAGAAAAAAATCCTGACAGCATGGTGAATGAATTGGTAAGTGAAAGGCATGGTAATATTTTATGAAAAATCACTGTCTTTAGAAAACGAACCAACTGTTTTCATCACCATTAGATGTAATCCTATTTTTCTTCTGGTTTTTTAACATTTTTCCAAGGAAGTAGATGGGTAAAGCTTAAGATCACAATATAAATTATAATCACATTGATAATCCTAGCCATCCAATCGAAATGTTATCAATGAAAATCCCCTATTTTATTTCCCCAGAGAGTGAAACGCCCTCCCAACACAGTGCCAACAGGAGTGACCAATCTAATCTTATTTTATATTCCCTCCATACTTTCAAGGAGCTTAAGGGAATTTAAGAACATACTAGATAGATATGCAATATGTATTTCTAATGGTAAAATATTTCCATTCTATGGTGTAGTTGAAACATCTAGTGGAACCTCAAGTGGAACTATACAAGGGTGGAGCAATGGTTTATAAGGATTTTTCTAACAAGTTTTTCAGTTGATAATGAAATATGAAAGTGTGGGTTGCTTTTCCCCACTTTTCCATCCACATACACGTTTTGATCTATCAGATCTCACACTGTAGCTAGGAAAGCATAGAAAACTAACCCAAGCTTAGTGCCTGTAAGCAAACCAGACTCCCATCGTATTATTAATAAATTAAATATTTTCGAAACTTTTTCTTGAATATTTTTCATGATACCCCACTCAATGAGGACAAAATACAAATATTTTTCTGCTAACCACCCTCCCGCGACCCACTCAAAGTAAATTGCGCAAATTGTAATCTAACTATAATTTAAGTCAAAAATCACATGATTTTTGTGTGCTTCTTCCGTTTCCTAGATTGTGTGGCACAGAACACCAAAAACTAAAATTCAAATTCTTAATTAGCGGACCAGCCAGTATCATTAAAAGCACAAAATCTGAACAATAACAGCAATGAATAATTTAAAAATAAATTAATAATTAAACAATAAAATCTAATGTCTTGATAACTATATAGTTCTGCTTAATTCTGTTTTTGAACTCTTTTAAAGAAAAGTTGAAGAGATCTACCTCTCTTGACATTTGATTGGCATCCCTGCAAATTCCTGTTACAGTACTAAAATAGCCATAATTTGTCCTGTATTATATTGAACATTTCATTCTGTATTGTATGTCTTGCAGGTACATGAATACTTATTTATATTATCTTACAGAGGAAGACAATCAATTAAATTATCTACAATTTTATATGAAAATCATATGCCAAGATTTCTAATGTTGGAAGGTGTAATAGTACTGATAATCCAACAAAATTAATATTTCCAACAGGAATTCTTGACCTATAGCCTATATGTCTCTGAAGCAAGGAAAAGCTATGAAGAAAATCTTCTGAAAAAAAAAATGACAAACACTCGGACAAATACTTCTATTCTTATATCAAGTGCAATCTAAGCAGCCAGGTTCATGATTTAATCTTACGAGATCCAATAAGTAATGACCTTATAAGATTTAAAGACCACCGCAAACACTTTTGCAAACCAATTTCATTCTGTCTACACCAGAGAAAACCTTACAAACATGCCAACTCTGTCCATAGAGACAATGAACAATAATCAACTCACTGTCATTAACATAACAACAGGAATAGTCACCACTGCTCTAAGTAGCCTAAAAACCTATTCAAGTCCAGACCCAGATGGGATACCATTTATATTTCTAAAGAAATGTGCTACGTCTCTAGCACCCTTATTAGCCCAAATACACTAAGATTCAATAGACAATGGTACCATACCAGAGAACTGGAAAAAAGCTATAGTGATACCAATTTACAAAAGTGGTGACAAAGACCAATTAGAGACCCATCAGCCTGACCTGCATACTGTCCAAAGTACTTGAAAAAATTCTTGTAAAAGAAACAACATCCTTTCTCTTAGAAAATGACATCATACCTCCTACACAGCATGGCTTTATGCCAAAAAGGTCTACTACAACAAATCTTCTCAACTGCCTGGACGACTGGTCTACAAACCTAGATGAAGGCAAGCCAATCGACGTCATATACCTCGACCGAGACCTCGACTTTCAGAGAGCCTTCGATACAGTACCACACGAGAGACTCTGCTACAAACTGAGCCATTATGGAATAAGAGGCAAGTACCTATACAGGAGCAGCTCTTTTCTTAAGCAAAGAACTTTCTATGTTCGAGCAAATGGAACCAGCTCTGATTGGTACCCAGTCGTCAGAGGAGTACCACAAGGATCTGTACTTGCTTCTCTTTTTTTTTATAGTGTACATTTCTGATCTGTCAAAAACTATTCAAACCAAAGTAAAATCCTTTGCAGATGTCAAAAAACTATATGGAAATCCTTTAACACAACTGCATCAACTAAAGGAAGACATGAGCACTGTAGAAGAATGGACAACCACATGGCAGCTAAAACTAAGTGAAAAAAAGTGTACAGTTTCACACATAGAACGAAATAACCCTAGATACAATTACCAAATAAATAGCGTCGAACTAAGAAAAGTCTCAGAACAGAAAGACCTAGGAGTCTATGTCACCGATGATCTGAAATGGGAAACCCATATATCCCACACAGTAAAGAAGGCCAATCGACTAATATTCCTTATGAGACAAGCTTTTGAAAACCAAACTGTAAAAATGATAAAAGAAACTACACCACCTACATTAGACCAAAACTAGAATATGGCCACACAGTTTGGTCTCCTTACTACATCAAAGACATAGATCTCTTAGAAAGTGTGCAGAGAAAAATTCCAATTGAACTTAGAAATCTGCCAGACGAAATAAGACTACAACTGGAAGATATGTTCCAAATGAATCCAAACTTAATCCTCAGAGGACACCACCAAAAACTGAAAAAAGCGAGAACTGTTCTTCTTGGAAGGAAAAACTTTTTAACCAATCGCGTAGTCTATAAATGGAATTGCCTAAGCCCAGAAACGATAGGTGCACCAAAGAAAAACATTTCAAAAATAGACTAGACCAAAATCTTTGTACCATAAACAACACATTAGTGTGCATTATTTTTAAAGAAGTACCAAAAACAAAAAACTAAAAGTGAAAAATCAAAAGCGATGGACTCTTCGAATAATAATAATAATAATGTCTAAGAAACTGTCTTTGAACCCCTTCCAGAATATTTATGTAAACCTGGTAGTTTGGGGACCAGACAGCACAAGCATATTCTAGTCTGGATCTTTACTACTGTATTGCAAATATGTTCAATATGGAGTATATTATGACTACATGACATTTAAAAAAGGATATAACCTTGGATTTCTTACCATTCAAGAATCTATGCATTTAAGTCTAAGCCGTTAATTCTACACCAGAAAGCAAAGCAATTAAGATCTGCTTAGCTGTCAACAAACCAAAAGCTCCAATCACTACGTTCATGCATTGCTTAATAATAATTATCATTTATTGCAGGATCTGGAGTTCCATGGTGTAATGCGTTTCTACTTCCAAGATTCCGGTCAAAAAGTCGCCACGAAATGCATACGAGTAGCCAGCGACGCCACAGTTGAAGACGTCATCGGTACTTTAGTGGAAAAATTCCGGCCGGACATGCGCATGCTCAGCATACCGAGCTATGCGCTGTACGAGCTTCACGAAGGATGCGCAGAACGGAAAATGACGCCTGACGAGAAGCCTTTGTTGGTTCAATTGAATTGGCACGTGGACGACAGAGAAGGGCGGTTTTTGTTGAAAAATGTTGATGACAAAACGGTAAGAGAATAACGACAGCTAGAAATAATGTCCAAAGTTGTGTAAAATGTAATTGTTTAGTCTTAGTTCATGTTAAGTTTTGTTTGTGTCTTCATACCTCTAAAAAATTTCTTTTTTTTGAATTTGAAATAATTTTGTTTTAGGTTGGTTCAATGGGTTCTCTAGACTCAAACGCAAGCTTTAGAAGAAAACTATCCAAACGCGAAAAGAAACAATTGAAAAAGCAAGAAAAATTATCGAGAATGAAAAGCGCCAACGGTGATATGAACGGCCAAGATAATGTAGCGGAAAAATTGTACCACGAGCTTCCAGAAACCTCTTTTACCAGGTCAATATCGAATCCGGAGGCTGTCATGCGGCGGAGGCGTCAACAGAAACTGGAAAAAAAACTGCAACAGTTTCGGTCGAAAGATGGCGGGCCTGATACAGGGGGGACTTTGAAAATTTACGGAGAGGCTCTGTGTAAAGACGTACCCTATAAAACTTTGCTTTTATCAGTAAGAGATTGTGCTGGGGCGGTAGTACGGGAGATGTTGGATAAATATGGTATAATCAGAGGTAAGGAAATTATCATTGTATAAGAGACAAGCAATAATTATATTAATTTGTGTTTGGACAAAAGGAGATCCAACACAATTTTGCTTGGTGCAAGTGACACAGCAACCTGGAATACCTGACACAGAATATGTACTGGATGACGATGAATGCCCTTTGAGTATATTGATGACTGCTCCAAATACTGGTAAGCCTCTTTAAAAATTTTATTAGTGTGGCTTGAAAAGTTGTAAAGTGCAAAAAAAACATAAAACATCCTCCAAAACAGCAGAAATCTGTGGAAAAGCTTTGAACGAGTGCCTATAGTGGGGCACTATCGATCTCTGCTAAAACTTATACCGACTATTATGGGAGCCAGCGTTTTCGATGGTAATTTATAGATGGCGCTGGTGGAATTAAATAGAAGATTAATAATTATTTTTCTTTCCTCATTCGATCTGGTTTGCCCCTGGTTTTTTATTATTCTCTCAAAATTTCTTAAAGGGCTTACAGGGGTTGAGTTTCCCGAAGAGGGTGCTACTGAGACATGAAATTATAAATAAGTTGTTAATTTAAAGCCCCAATAAATTATTTATTTATCATTATTATTAATTATTATTGGCATTCTGATGGGTGAAAAATGAAAATCGAGTTTTGAAATATTTTTTTTTTATTTTTTATATTGATCCGCTCACAAAAGACAAAGTATGTGCTACCTAAGTGGTACCATGAGAGGAAGAAATTAATTGACTAGTTTTGTGTTGGACGATGGAGATTCATTTTTATTAAAGAAATTCTCCCAAAATTTCACTCCATGATTTACAGATCCAAATTTAAAAAATTCGAAAGAATAATGAGTAGGTACAGTTTTTGTAGGCTGATTTCCAAGATTTTTCATGCTGTTATTTTGCACAGGAAAAATTTGAAATTTTGGGAAAATGAGTCTCTAACCTTCCTATTCACAGGCAAAAGGTTTCGAATTTTTCCCTTCACTAGTATTCCAGGAAAACTTTGAAATGTGTGAGACTGTATTTTCAATTAATTCAGTTATTGTAAGTTGATTTTCAAGATTCTTCATGTTGTTATTTTTTGCTGGAAAAATTTTAAATTCTGGGAAAATGAGCTTCTAACCTTCCTCTTTACATGAGAAAAGTTTCAAATTTCTCTCTTCACTAGTTTTCCAAAAAAACTTTGAAATGTGTGATACTGTATTTTTAATTAATTCAGTTTTTGTAAGTTGATTTCCAAGATTCTTCATGCTGTTATTTTCCGCTGGAAAAATTTGAAATTTTGGGACAATGAGCCTCTATAACCTTCCTCTTCACATGCAAAAAGTTTAAAATTTTTCCTTTCACTTAGTTTTCCAAGAAAACTTTGGAATGTGTGAGACGGTATTATCAACTAATTCAGTTTTTGACAGGTTGATTTCCAAGATTCTTCATGTTGCTATTTTCCACTGGAAAAATTTAACATTTTAGGAAAATGAGCTTCTCACCGTCCTCTTCACATTCAGAAAGTTTCAAAATTTTCCCTTCACTAGTTTTCCAGGAAAACTTTGAAATGTGTGAGACTCTATTTTCAATTAATTCAGTTATTGTAGGTTGATTTTCAATATTCCTCATGTTGTTATTTTCTACTAGAAAAATTTGAAATTTTGACAAAATGAGCCTCTAACCTTTCTACTCTTCACATCGAAAAGTTTCAAATTTCTCTCTTCACCAGTTTTCCAGGAAAACTTTGAAATGTGTGAGACTGTATTTTCAACTAATTCAGTTTTTGTACGTTGATTTCCAAGATTCTTCATGTTCCTGTTTTCCACTGGAAAAATTTGAATTTTTGGGAAATTAAGCTTCAGACCTTCCTCTTTACATGCAAAAAGTTTCAATACATTTTCCCTTCACTAGTTTTCCAGGAAAACTTTGAAATATGTGAGACTGTATTTTCAACTAATTCAGTTTTTGTAGGTTGATTTCCAAGATTCCTTATGTTGCTGGAAAAATTTGAAATTTTGGGAAAAAGAGCTTCTTACCTTCCTCTTTACATGCAAAAAGTGTCAAAATTTTCCCTTCACTAGTTTTCCAGGAAAACTTTGAATTGTGTAAGACAGTATTTTTTAATAATTCAGTTATTGTTGGTTAATTTCCAAGATTCTTTATGTTGTTATTTTCCGCTGGAAAAATTTTAAATTTAGGGAAAATGAGTCTCTAACCTTCCTATTCACAGGCAAAAGGTTTCGAATTTTTCCCTTCACTAGTATTCCAGGAAAACTTTGGAATGTGTGATACTGTATTTTCAACTAATTCAGTTATTGTAGGTTGATTTCCAAGATTCCTCATGTTGTTATTTTCTACTGGAAAAATTTGAAATTCTAGGAAAATGAGCTTCCACCTTTCCCCTTTACATGCAAAAAGTTTCAAAAGTTTCCCATCACTAGTTGTTCAGGAAAACTTTGAAATGTGTGAGACTGTATTTTCAACTAATTCAGTTTTCGTAGGTGGATTTCTAAGATTTTTTATGATGCTGTTCTCCAATGGAAAAATTTGAAAATTTGGGAAAATGAGCTTCAGACCTTCCTCTTTACATGCAAAAAGTTTCAACATTTTCCCTTTACTAGTTTTCCAGGAAAACTTTGAAATGTGTGAGACTGTATTTTCAATTAGTTCTGTTTTTGTAGGTTGATTTCCAAGATTCTTCATGTTGCTATTTTCCGCTGGAAAAAATGTAAATTTCGGGAAAATGAGCCTTTAACGTTCCTCTTTACATAGAAAAAGTTTCAAATTTTTCCCCTTTACTAGTTTTCCAGGAAAACTTTGAAATGTATGAGATTGTATTTTCAACTAATTCAGTTTTTGTAGGTTGTTTTCCAAGATTCCTCATGTTGTTATTTTCTACTGGAAAAATTTGAAATTCTAGAAAAATGAGCTTATACCTTTCCCCTTTACATGCAAAAAGTTTCAAAATTTTCCCATCACTAGCGAAAAGAAACAATATACCTACCCTCAATATTGTGAAACAATATACATATATACCTACCTACAGTACCTACCTAAATTGTTTAAAAAGTAGCTACATGAGGTGTATTATTCTTGGTATTATACAGTATTATAATTGTTTTAATTTCCTTAAAAGATTTTTTTCATCAATTAGGTTATAATAATATCAAATGCGGGTTCAGGTTAGTTTAAACCCCTGCATTCTGGATTACCGAAAACCAATCATTAGTTCTAGCTCTAAAGTCAACTAATGTAACCTTGCATTTGATCCTACTCTCGATCCTACTTGATAAACTGCTCTTTTACTAAGCGAAATAAAAATAGAAAAAATTATTTTCTTAACACGAGCAATTATGGGGATTTTCGGGGAATTTGTAAGAAACATTTGTGGGAAACTTGAGAGGAGTTTGTAGGAATACCCCTTGATTAAACTTGATGTAGACTCCCTTCATACAACCTCCTCCCAGAGATTCGAATGGGAGGATATTTTAACTCTGGAGGATGTCCATCATCGTTTGTATACATATATCATATACATTTTACGTTTACCTACATGTCGAAGATTGAACAGAGATAAAAAAAAAATACATTACAAGTTGGTTTTATAACAGCTTCAAATAACAGCTTTACCTCACATTTAAACCAGCCACTTTAGGATTTTTTTTTTCTCACATTTGGACCTGAAATTTAATGTGGCTAAAAGACAAGGTCAAGCTGGTTGGCACTTAATAACTTATAATTGAGGTATTCTTTGAACGAGAGAAAATTATTTTAATAGACGGTATTTTTCCAATCTTTAAACATGAAAGGTGCTTCCTTCAGCTAAGTACTTGAAACTGATGCCTTAGAAGTTCTTGCTCCTCTATGACAAGGTTATCATTTTTAAAAATCGGGTTTAATCAACTACTTTTTTTGGCTAGAGATCAAGCATGACTTCATTTGCAAAAATTGCAGAATGACTATTTTTACGGTTCATATTGATAATACTAAACTCTTCAACGAATTAGTCTCAGTCTTTTGCGAATGGTGACGGGTGACTTTTGAAACAGATCTGTTAATTGCTAAATGCCCTAACCATAATAGAAGTGCCATGTTTTAGGTGATTTTCAATTGCTTGTTGTTTATCTAGCAAGTTTCTACTTCATATTATTCTATGGTATTCCATGTGCAAAAAGCGTTTTCCACCCGCAAATTCAATGAAAATTTTATTCATGGAAAGGGAATTTAAATTCTAGCTTTTGACAAAGTTGAAACGTAAAAGAGAATTTATTCGACCCTTTTTTCTGGGAAAATTAATTCAATTTTTGCCAGAGTGCAGGGAATTTAATTCAAGCTCCAAGCTTTTTGATGGTCGTTGCAGCATTCCGACAAAAATTAGTCCTTTTCTTCCCCACTAACTAAATATAATTTGAGAATTTCGTGTTTAATTGCTCGAATTAATTCTGTTTATTTTAGTGGACAGTAATTGACGATTCAATTTGTAAATTGTGCGGTTGCAATATTGAGTCATAGTTCATTAGTTATTCTGCAGTTTAAATTTTGGGAACACCCTCGTTTAAAAATAAATTCCCATCATAAACATTTATCGTAATGGATCATCCCACAGTTAATACTCATATCCATGAAAACTTAATGAGGCATGCAATGCGAGCTCTAGTAAGTGCGGGTTGTTCCACTTCAAAAAGTTACCCAAACTTTACTACTCGAGAGCGTATACTTCTTGGCTTTATCCCAGTTCTTTCCTTTGTTGCCTTCTTCTATGTTGGTGCCTGCAGCAGTGATGGGTTAAAAGCCCCTTGTGTACGATGGTCTTGGTTTAAAGCGATACAGTGTTGCCGATTATCGCCAGATGTCATTAGAAAAGTTATTTGATGTACATTACAATATTAATTGCTTATATTTAGTTTATAGTATGCCGAAAAATATTCAGGGTTTTTAATGTGCCTTCATTGATTAAGTATATTTAGCTTAACTTTCTAAAATTGAGCAGTTTTTGTTGAAAGCTGGAGTGTAGAAGTTGCAAGACAGTAATAATAGGGCTATAGAGCATTCATCACTACAAAAAACGATTTTGTCTTCTAAGGGCTTGCCACTATTCCTTTAAACTAGATTTTTCATATTTTTAGTCCATATTTCATTTTAAATCGAATTGCACTGATGAAGTTTCTTAAGTAGGTATCATTGCTGCCTTTCTTAATTATTGACATGAAGCATC